TATATATATATATATATATATATATATATAATAATAATATATATATATATATATATATATATATATATATATATATATATATATATATATATATATATATTGTGGCCAGGAGAGATAGAGTTATAACAGACACGCACACAAAGTACACACACACACACAAGTACACACACACACACACACGAACATGCACACTATACAAACCTGGAATAGATACCACCCTGCGTTGTACCGCAGGCTGATTGTAGCCGCGACTATACGCAGTCGTTGTGGCGGCCGAGGTGGCCGTAGTTGCTGATGTATTAGTCTGTGCACCGGTTGCAGCTGCATTAGCATTCACCGTAGTATTTGCTGGGTATGTGGATGTCGCACTCGACTGTTTGCCTGTGGCACCCCCCTGAGCCGTTGGGGGCCGGGCATATGCGGTGTTTGCATATGAATTCGTGTTTGTGCTTGTGTTGGTATTTGTATTTGAATTTGAATTTGGATTCGGATTCGGATTGGTGTTCGAGTTCTGGTACGCATTTGCACCCGGAGTAGTATTTGTGTTATTCGTGTTTGAGTTTGGGTTGGTATTCTGGTTTGGATTAGTATATCCCGCAGCTGTCCGAGAAGTATCGCCCGGGGGCTTGTAAGACTGTGTGGCCGCCGGTGCACTGTATACGTTCGTACTGGTTGTTCCTGTGCCCGTGGCAGCATTTGCACTCATCCCCACACCCGTCGGTGTACTTGCACCCGGGGTTTTATTTGTACTACCGGCATTCATGCTCGTCTTTGTATTCGCATTCGTGTGTATGTACGCATTGGTACCTACATTTCCATTCGTAGCTGTGTAGGTAGTCCCGGCAGTGCCACTATTCATCGACTGTGCAGAACCCCGTCTAACGCCCGCAGCCTGTGCGGTAGATATAGGTGCGGTACCAGGTCTGTAGTTATTTGCGCCTACCGCCGTACTATATACCATAGGTGCTGTAGTAGTGGCCATATACGCCGTGGGACTACTAGTTCCCTTGACCATGCTAACCGTACTAGTATTCGCTGTGCCTGTGTTCTGCATCTGCCCTGTGTATACTGGCGCAGCTGATTGGGCCGCGCTTGTGTGCTGTTGCGGATGTACCGTCCCGTTCGCATTCGCACCCATGTGGCCGTTGGCTGTCACCACAGGTGACGTAGTTGCACTAGTTCCAGGTGCCGCGGGGTTGTACCGCGCATACGCTGTCGTGCCTGTTTGCTGCAGCGCGTATGTGTTTGTCGGCTGTGCCCGTGTATGTTGTTTTGTATGTGTTTGTGTATTTGTCTGTATATGTGTCTGTGTGTTTGACGGGGGTTGTGTTTGCGGTGGAGGGGTGTGTGTCTGCTGCAAATGCGTATGAGCTGTTGTATGAGTGGCTCCCTGCAGCTGTCCCGGTGTCTGTGACCGTCCTTGTCCTACAGTTTGGGGCACAGTTTGGGCCACACCCGAGGTACTCCTGTGAGCGGTGACAGCGTTCGCCTGAGTCGCATTTTGCACCGGGGCCTGGGACGGTTTCGTGGGCCCCTGTTTGTGCTGTGCTGACTGTGGCTGGTGCTGTTGCGTGGTGTACGTCTGCTGCTGCACAGGTGGTGTCTGTTGCGGATGTGTGAGCGTAGTCTGTTGCAGCTGTGTGAGCGTAGTCTGTTGCAGCTGTGTGAGCGTAGTCTGTTGCAGCTGTGTGAGCGTAGTCTGTTGCGGCTGTGTGAGCGTAGTCTGTTGCGGCTGTGTGAGCGTAGTTGTTGCGGCTGTGTTAGCGTAGTTTGTTGCGGCCGTGTAAGTGCAGTCTGTTGCGGCTGTGTGAGTGTAGTCTGTTGCGGCTGTGTGAGTGTAGTCTGTTGCGGCTGTGTGAGCGTAGTCTGTTGCGGCTGTGTGAGTGTAGTCTGTTGCGGCTGTGTGAGCGTAGTTGGTTGCGGTTGCGAATGCTTGGGCACAGTGTGTGGGTGCTGTGTGTGTGATGGGTGCTTGGGCTGTGTCTGCGGCTGCTTCGTGTGCGCTATCGACTGTGGCTGTGTTGGCTGTGTTGCTTGTGTATATTGTGTGTGTTGTGTTTGCTGTGGTTGTTGTACTTGCTGTGTGTGGCGTGGTTGCGGTGTTTGTTGTGTATATTGTGCCTGTTTCGGTTGTTGAGTTTGTTGAGTGTATTGTGGTTGCTGTGGTTGTTGTGCTTGATTTGATTGTTGGGCATTCAATGTTGATTGCTGCTGTACACCCTGTACCTGGTGTGCCTGGTGTGGTTGCTTAGCAACCTGCTGCTGTGCGTGCGTTGTCTGCAGCCGCTGCCCAGGCTGTGTTTGTTGTGGTTGTGTGTGTGTTAATGGATTCTGCACCGTGTTCGATGTAGTCACAGGCTTCGCCTGTTGCTGGGCCGTCATCTGTGTCTGTCTTGGCAGGTTGTGCGCCGTTGTCGGCTGCTTTTGTGTGTTCTGTGCTGCCTGTTGCTGTGTCTGAGGATTCCCCTGTAGATGACCACTGTAAGTTCTCAGACCCACCCCAGTCTGGCCAGCCCCCGTGCCCTGCACCGCACCGGCATCTGTACCTGCATTGGCCCCAGCCCCAGGATTAGACGACTGTGTGTACTGTGGTGGAGCAGTTGTACCGGTTGCACCCATTGTAGCTGCGCTCACATATCTCTCCGCCGCTCCAGCACTCACTGGCGGTGTGGTAGAGCATGCCACCTTCTCGCTGTGCACTGTACTGCCAACAGGCACGCTCTGTGCACTGGTAGTGGTCAATGACGGTGTCTGTGTGTGCTGTTGTGCTTGTGTGTGTGGCTGTGTAGTCTGCCCGTGTTCGGTTGTTCGTGTCAATGTTGTAAGGGCTTGCACGTGTGCCTGTGCAGGTCTACTGGCCTGTACAGGCGTATTTGGCTGTGTTTGAGTCGGTTTGTGGTCCTGGGTTTGTGTGTGCGGTGCCACAGCCAGATTGGCTCTGTGCGCCTGTAGGTTTGCGCCCGGTACACCTGTCTTGTTTTCCAGGACAGGACTGGACCCAATCGACATGTTTGTGCGGGAGGGTGAGGTGTAGTTGTGATCCGCCAATGTGTGTTCCTGTATCGTGTGGTTATTCGCACCGACACTCTCACTCGCTAGTGCTGCGGTAGCTGTGCTTGTGCTGGAGTCAGTAACTTGAAGGGTGTGACTGGTGGTTGCATCTTTATGCTGGACCGAAGAGTTGCTGGGCCTCCCGGCAGCGGATTTATGTACCTGATCCATAGGAGACAAACCACGTTTAAGGATGAAGTGGGTAGAATGCACTAGTATCTTCAATAGTATAAGATAGGTAGGTAAACATCTATGAGCCTAGTTGTATGGAATTGAAGCCTAACTGAGAAGAATGGTTATATAGTACATACAATACAGGTTCAACAACGTGAGGTGCATTCATCGGACCATCGTCAGCAAAATATCTCGGACAAATCACACACGATACAGCACAAGAATAAGCTGGTAAAATGTGACAGTGTTACACTCAAATGAGGTGTACCTAAAGGAGTGTTTTCAGCGAGATATGACACTTCGGGTAAAATGACATATACCACTATCACCTCATCCAGCCGAGTAATAATATTTGTAATATGTGTGAAACGTCCTATTTACATACATACATACATACATACATACATATATATATACAGATACACAAACACACACACACACACATA